CCCCCCCCCCGTGCTGGTTTGGGACTGTGCTGCACGTGGTGCTCACTCTGGCTGGATTGGAACGTGAGCTGCATGCAATGCCGGTTTCAGCTGGTCCTGGGTAGTCAACACGTGCAACATGGGTCCTGGAACGACTGGAGTGGGCACCGAGTTCAGTACGGTCTAGAATTGGCCTAGTGGGCACTGGATCCAGCCTTACAGGGAGGGCCCTGGACTGACCCCATACACGTGCTGTATACAGTGTGGGCCCTGGAGTTGGCATTGCATGCAGTGCATGTTCTGGGTCCTGTGTGTAGGGCCAGTCTGGCACGTGCCAAGTGTGGGTCAGCTGTACATCCAGGGCCAGCACCAGGGCCCAGATGATAGGATTCCAGAGGCTGGATCTGGCAGGTGGGCTGCATCTGACACCCCTGCAGTTGCAGAGTCATGCCACAAAACTCTATGAAGCTACTTTTCTAATTGAAAAGGGATCTGAAAACAAAACAGCAACCTGCATGACCTCACAGTGCAGCAATTCATCATGTGCATCTGGCTGAGGCTCAAGTCATGCTCCCTGTGCCACATACAAGCCAGCTATTTGCTACAAAAGGCAGGGCTACCATGTTTCCAGATCCAGAAAAGAGGACACCTGCCATGCATCCCTGCTGGAGGGGCAGGCAACCCCTCACCCCCCTACCCTGTTGCAGCCCCCGCCCCCCTGCCCTGACCAAAGGTCTGGGATTTTGCTTTGGTCTGCAGCTTTGGTCTGCAGGTGGAGCAGGGGGAGGCAACTGGAGGCAGCAGGGAGCACCATATCTGCACCCGCCTCTGCAGCTGCAGGCAGGTACATCTGTGCTCCCGGCTGCCTCCGATTGCCCTCTCCCTGCTCCCACAGTGGAGCAAAGCACAATCCCGGACCTTTCGTCAGGGCAGGGGGGTGGGGGCTGCAACAGGACATTTGGGCAGATGTAAAAAAACACCCCGACAGCGATCAGAGAGCTCAAGAAGAGGAAAACCTGGACATACGGTAACCTTACCCAAAGGTGCTGCAGGATGAGGAACGTCCTGCTAGCGACAATGCACCAGTGGAAAGCGCCCAGTGCAGCCAACCCCAGCAGGATCACTAGGGATGGGCAAAAGGGACACCTGCCCCAGGCACCAAGTTAGAAGGGCAGCAGAACTGGCAGTGAGCTCCAAAACCACCTGGGCTTCAGGACCAAGCACCGGGGCAGGCAGAGCGCAGGTGCAGAGGTAGCCGTACCTGCTTGGGGGGAGGTGGGTCCTGCACGACGGGGTCTAGGGTCATGAACTTCTTGTCCTTGAGGATGCTGAGCACGTCGTAGAGCACGCAGGTCTCCGTCAGTGCGCTGCGCAGGCTGTTCCGCACCGAGTCCCAGGGCCACAGGGACGGCTGGAACTTCACCAACCCTGGTACATGCGCGGGAGAAGCGAACGCTCAGGGCCCAGGCGTCGCCTAGGAGACCGCCCCCCCCCCCGGCCATCGCCTAGGAG